TTAACACAGCCCCAAATCGGGGGCGGGCAGAGGGCTGTTCAGATCTGGGCTGGGTCATGTCCACAACATGAGACCCCAGAGCCTCAGGAGCCCTCACTCTCACATGTGGAAACCAGGAGAGGCCCAGCGGGGCAGCAGCAGCTTTCTTGGTGTTACCTGGCTTCCTGCCCCGTGGAGCCTTCTTCACTGACACATCTGAGTCTGAATCGGAGTTGGAGTCTGACTTGGTCATGTCCACGGCTGCGTTTCCCATTTCCGAATCCGAATCCACTTTGGAGTCCGAGTCGGAGGCGGACTCCACTTTCTGCAGGCACAGAGCAGGGTTGGACCAGGGGGGTGGCAGTGGCTCAGCAGCGTGCCCCAAACCACAGCACCACGGGACCCAGTGGGGTCACTGAGGCATCAGGGAGGTCCCAACTAGAGTTGAACCCACATCCAGCCCGGGGTAGAGCCCCACTGCCATTCCCCGCTCTGGGCAGTGCAGAGCCCAGACTCCTCTCCAGCTTCCCTCCCACTACACTGCAGGGCAGGGCTCTTTTACCTTCTTCTTCCTCCCTGCCGGTGGCACCCTCCGGGGAGCCCGGGCCACTGGCTTCTTCTCGGGAGTGAAATCCTGGAGGAAAACACAGATATAAAGAAACAGGGAACAGGCTCATGGCAGTTTCAGAAGCCAGGCAGGCTCCCTCAAGCCCTAAGACGGCGACGTTCCTCCTCCACCCCTTTCCCAACCACCCTGCCAACCTCCTACAAGCATATCCCAAAACCCTCTCACCTGGTCACTGTTTTTTTCTGACTCAGAAGATGTTTCTGAGTTCTCTTCTTCTGTCAGGGAGGGGCTGCCCTGATCTAAGTCACTGGAGGATTTCCGAGGTCGTTTTGCCACCGGCATCTGGCACAATAGGAGGAACCACATGAGGGAAGCCCACTCCCCCTGCACCCACAACAGAAAGCCAACGTGCGCTGGGAAGGGACTTTGCCTGACTCTTCCCGACCGGCCCTGCAAGAGCAGCCACGTGCCCTCAGAAGAGCCGTGCAGCTCCTGGCTTCAAACCACGCCAGGACTCGGCCACCCCGCTATCGCACAGACAACACGAGGCAGCTGTGAGCCCCCCCAAACACACACTGAACCCCGTTTCCCAGTGGAGAATCCAGAGGGAGCTGGTTTCTTCACC